TCTACCAATGAACACTGGTATGACAATGTTTCAGCATGTGACAAACAAACCTTCCTGTCTACCAATGAACACTGGTATAACAATGTTTCTGCATGTGACAAACAAACCTTCCTGTCTACCAATGAACACTGGTATGACAATGTTTCAGCATGTGACAAACAAAGCTTCCTTTTTACCAATAAACACTGGTATAACAATGTTTAAGCATGTGACAAACAAAGCTTCCTTTTTACCAATGAACACTGGTATAACAATGTTTCAGCATGTGACAAACAAACCTTCCTGTCTACAAATGAACACTGGTATGACAATGTTTCAGCATATCAAATTTTATTTGTTTGTTGCATATTGAGTCTTTCAAAAAATATTTTGGTTAATTCTGCAAAGCAACGCAATTTCGTTGCTATGGAAGAGCTTCTACGCATGTGCACTGAAAAAAGATAGCTGAAATTAACGAGGCGTTGATAACAAATACAATGTATATGAAGAAATACGTATTATGCGTGACTTGAGATGAAATTAGTTGTAATAATAAAATAGACCAGTTATTTTATTAAACCGTCACCAACCAACAAATACCATCTAGAATGTCCGGAAACATACAGAAAATTATACCTATTCAACCATGTTTTGCATGTGTGACTAGAGACGAAATTAGTTATATAAACACATTTTATTGAATGGTCAACAACCTACGAAGTAGATCCAGAAAATCTGGATACAAAGAGATAAATACACATTAAAAATCCAACTATGATATCGTTAGTTAAATAAAATTAACTTATTTTTGATCGATTTTGGTGACGAGGTGATCATTATTGCGAAGCTGAGTTTGGTGGTGAGGTGACTATTCCCGGCTGTTATATTTTATCTAATGACCTGCCGAACTATTTACTGCTTGTTATATTTGACCTGATGACCTGCCGAACTGTTCCCGGCCTGTTATATTTGATCTTATGACCTGCCGAACCATATCGGGCCTGTAACTTTTGATCAAAAGACAAATCAAACTATTCCAGGACCGTTGTTGATCTAATGACCTGCCGAACTATTTTCGGTCAGTTATGTAGTTGTAAATTGAAGCAGAATCATGTTTATCTACACTATCAAGACGTACACGTGCGGTCGCTGTACAATTACATCCCGGTAATACACGATAATGTAGCATGATTTACGTCATCAGCAGAATACACTATAGTGCTGATCCGATAAATATGCTTATGTACTCTCGGGGATATATTTTTTTGAAGTTTAAAGAATTGACAATGACATAGGCAGTAAACTGAATTACAGCTAAATTTCAAAAAAATGTACACAATATTATTGTGGCCACCGATTAACGACTACTTAATGTTCATAAGATGTCCATATTATATGAGAAGGTAGATAAACTACGGATAAGTCGACATATCATTACACTTGCTGGGGTATTGTATGGAGTGTTTATCGTGTTAATCCAGGGGTGTGACATCGACTAGACATATATCAGGTTATATGGCCTACATATGTAACCGAAAACGAGGCTTCTGTATGAAGGCGTAGGCTTCCCGAACCTGACGGTTTGTATGTCTTCTTAGTTACCCCTAGTTACCACGTCATGGTAGATACAAGCTTCGATACGATAGAGACCTACCCAAATTATAATTATAATTATATTGTATTGGAAACGATGGATGTAGGTTAAAATTGCGATGTGGAAACGATGGTAAGAAAGGGTACTTTTTCCGCACATACCTTTTTGGTAATTTTATAAAAGGATATTTTCATTATTTTATGTTAAAATATAACTCATTAAACATGATACATATATAGACCATCCCGTGTCAGATGTTTCTACTGTGAATATGTTTAAGAAAGACAACACAATAATGTCAGTTTTATGTCTTCGTTCCAGATTATTTTGAGCCGGTTCTGTGGTTCCAGAGACATCCATGATCTGATAGCACAAGCAGCAGGAGTCAGCAGGTATTTCCTTACAATTAGCGTTAAATTGTTAACGTCACACTGCAGGTTATAAACGTCACTAATTGTGTTGTAAACATGACACATCATTTGATGTATTGTTATAACAGGAACTCTTTGACTCCAGTGTCTTCACATCAAATGTACCACTGACTTAATAAAACAAGAGGCCCAAGGGCCTTAGTGGTCACCTGAGTTATATTATAGGTACTGGTACCTCAATTTCATTGTTGAGATGTACAAAATGTGGAAAACAACATGCAAACAAAGTGAAATGCAATACTTGTCATGTCAGTATCCAAAGGATAAGAACTTAAACAAGAGGCCCAAGGGCCTTACCGGTCACCTGAGTTATGAAAAAACTGATGTTATCGATGTTACCAAATGAAAAAGAAATTATTTTGTAACAAAGGTAACTTGAACTACATGTAATGCAAAAGTAGTGTGAAAGATCTGGGTAGTATATGTATTATGTACAAATAGTGGTTCCGTCAGTCAGCTGAATTATGGTACAGCACCTTAAGACCCTTCCATCTATGAAGAGTATTTGATTCTACCGTATCTTGGTCTTGAGAAGAAGATTTTTGAAGTTTCAGTCAATTCAACTTTTCTGGCCCCCCCCCTCCCCCCATCAGTCTCAGGGTGTCATTCAGGACTGATATGTGCATACCATCAAACTGCTATCCAATGCTGATAATGCTAACGAAGTTTGAATTAATTCCAATGGAAATTAAACAAATGCTGGTGCAAAATGTGATTTCCCTATATAAACTATAGTAAAGTTTACCGTCTCCCCAGTGGGAAACATGAGAGCCCAGGGTCATGAAATTCCCTATCTTGGTAAAGCACCTTAAGACCCTTCCATTTAAGAGTGTTTGAGTCTACCATATCTGGATCTCGAGAAGAATATTTTTGGATTTTAGTCGATTTGACCATGGGGACCATACAATTCACACTTTTGGTTGATCTTTGGCCATGAAAGGTTTCTGCAAAACTTCATTGAAATTGGTTCTGGGGTTTTGGAGAAGGAGTCGAAAATATTAATTGTTTACGGACGCACGACGCCGGACAAAAGACGATCGCCATAGGTCACTTGAGACTTTGTCTCAGGTGACCTATAAAGTGGTGTTATCAAATGAAGGCTGACAATTCATAAACATGTTTTGTTTAGGTAAAGATAATCAATGGTGAGGTAAACGTCATACAATTACGTTAAGCGATGAAATATAACACTGTTGATTTGCTTTTAAAATTATACCCGATTTGCAACGTAATGCCAATTGCGTTAAATATCTTTTCATTGAGCTTGCCGGTACAATTTTTGTTCAAGTATTAATTTGCTAAGCTTACCTTCATGTGCATGTTGTATTTGATTGAGTTAATCATTAATATAGGACTATAAAAGTCAAACAAAATGGATGCCATATGCTACAGTGTCAACACATGAGGACCAAAAATACTATAACATCAGCACTGGATAAAACATACCACAGCGTCAACACAACACTACAAAAACATATCACGGTGTCATCGCACAAAGACCAGCTTTAACCCAAAAGGATAAAACATACCTCAGCGTCAACACAAAAGGATAAAATATAGCACAGCGTCACCACAAAAGGACAAAATATACCACAGCATCAACACAAAGGGACAAATTATATCTAAGCGTCAATACAAAAAGGACAGAAAATACCACAGCGTCAACACAAAAGGACAAAATATACCACAGCATCAACACAAAGGGACAGATTATATTTAAGCGTCAATACAAAACGGACAGAAAATACCACAGCGTCATCACAAAAAGACAAAACATACCACAGCGTCAACAAAAAGGGACAGATTATATCAAAGCGTCAACACAAAAGGACAGAAAATAACACAGCGTCAACACAAAAGGACAAATTATACCACAGCATCAACACAAAGGGACATATTATATCAAAGCGTCAACACAAAAGGACAGAAAATACCAAAGCGTCAACACAAAAGGACAAAATATACCACAGCATTCACACAAAGGGACAGATTATATCAAAGCGTCAACACAAAAGGACAGAAAATACCACATCGTCAACACAAAAAGACAAAACATACCACAGCGTCAACAAAAAGGGACAGATTATATCAAAGCGTCATCACAAAAGGACAGAAAATACCACAGCGTCAACACAAAAGGACAAAATATACTACAGCATCAACACAAAGGGACAGATTAAATCAAAGCGTCAACACAAAAGGACAAAATATAACACAAGTTTAAAAGCACTTAAAGTCAATTCTTGTAAACAAACACAGAACTTAAAAAATGAATAAATAAAAAAGACGCACATGAACCAAAATGACCAATTCATAAAGAGCTTATATTGCCCGCATGATACAGGATTTTCTGTCGGCCTAAGATGGCGCTTGTAATCTAGCAAGGCCAATCAGGCAGTCTATTAATCAGGCATTAGAGGAAATAACAGAGTAAGTTAGGTCTGATAAAAAGACAGTATAAGGCTCAATAAAGATTTACACAAGATAGTCAATATCATTTACAACTAATGGTACAGCAGATATGTGGATCTCAGTGTCGTCAGGCCTTAACATCTATACAAACTATAACGCAAGGAAACGGCTTGAGATGAGGAAGGTAGTAAGATAATGAGCTGGCTTTCAGCATGACTGTACACATTGCGTAAAGGACCGTCTGTTATGAGACCCCAAACCATACACGCGTTTAAAATACTACCTCATTATGGTAGGTAGCAATTATTAGCAACTTGATCTGAGACTTTGTCATCATCATAAACACGAGGTTGTTTTAGGGTTCATGTCGTGGTTACTGGCAAATCAATCGTATCAGATGTTTACAATTTGAGAATAGCTGAGAAACAAGTCTAACAAACGATAGAAACAAGTCTAACTAACTATAGAAACAAGTCTAACTAACGATAGAAAGAAGTCTAACTAACGAAAGAAACAAGTCTAACTAACGATAGAAACAAGTCTAACTAACGATAGAAACAAGTCTAACTAACGATAGAAACAAGTCTAACTAACGATAGAAACAAGTCTAACTAACGATAGAAACAAGTCTAACTAACGATAGAAACAAGTCTAACTAACGATAGAAACAAGTCTAACTAACGATAGAAACAAGTCTAACTAACGATAGAAACAAGTCTAACTAACGATAGAAACAAGTCTAACTAACGATAGAAACAAGTCTAACTAACGATAGAAACAAGTCTAACTAACGATAGAAACAAGTCTAACTAACGATAGAAACAAGTCTAACTAACGATAGAAACAAGTCTAACTAACGATAGAAACAAGTCTAACTAACGATAGAAACAAGTCTAACTAACGATAGAAACAAGTCTAACTAACGATAGAAACAAGTCTAACTAACGATAGAAACAAGTCTAACTAACGATAGAAACAAGTCTAACTAACGATAGAAACAAGTCTAACTAACGATAGAAACAAGTCTAACTAACGATAGAAACAAGTCTAACTAACGATAGAAACAAGTCTAACTAACGATAGAAACAAGTCTAACTAACGATAGAAACAAGTCTAACTAACGATAGAAACAAGTCTAACTAACGATAGAAACAAGTCTAACTAACGATAGAAACAAGTCTAACTAACGATAGAAACAAGTCTAACTAACGATAGAAACAAGTCTAACTAACGATAGAAACAAGTCTAACTAACGATAGAAACAAGTCTAACTAACGATAGAAACAAGTCTAACTAACGATAGAAACAAGTCTAACTAACGATAGAAACAAGTCTAACTAACGATAGAAACAAGTCTAACTAACGATAGAAACAAGTCTAACTAACGATAGAAACAAGTCTAACTAACGATAGAAACAAGTCTAACTAACGATAGAAACAAGTCTAACTAACGATAGAAACAAGTCTAACTAACGATAGAAACAAGTCTAACTAACGATAGAAACAAGTCTAACTAACGATAGAAACAAGTCTAACTAACGATAGAAACAAGTCTAACTAACGATAGAAACAAGTCTAACTAACGATAGAAACAAGTCTAACTAACGATAGAAACAAGTCTAACTAACGATAGAAACAAGTCTAACTAACGATAGAAACAAGTCTAACTAACGATAGAAACAAGTCTAACTAACGATAGAAACAAGTCTAACTAACGATAGAAACAAGTCTAACTAACGATAGAAACAAGTCTAACTAACGATAGAAACAAGTCTAACTAACGATAGAAACAAGTCTAACTAACGATAGAAACAAGTCTAACTAACGATAGAAACAAGTCTAACTAACGATAGAAACAAGTCTAACTAACGATAGAAACAAGTCTAACTAACGATAGAAACAAGTCTAACTAACGATAGAAACAAGTCTAACTAACGATAGAAACAAGTCTAACTAACGATAGAAACAAGTCTAACTAACGATAGAAACAAGTCTAACTAACGATAGAAACAAGTCTAACTAACGATAGAAACAAGTCTAACTAACGATAGAAACAAGTCTAACTAACGATAGAAACAAGTCTAACTAACGATAGAAACAAGTCTAACTAACGATAGAAACAAGTCTAACTAACGATAGAAACAAGTCTAACTAACGATAGAAACAAGTCTAACTAACGATAGAAACAAGTCTAACTAACGATAGAAACAAGTCTAACTAACGATAGAAACAAGTCTAACTAACGATAGAAACAAGTCTAACTAACGATAGAAACAAGTCTAACTAACGATAGAAACAAGTCTAACTAACGATAGAAACAAGTCTAACTAACGATAGAAACAAGTCTAACTAACGATAGAAACAAGTCTAACTAACGATAGAAACAAGTCTAACTAACGATAGAAACAAGTCTAACTAACGATAGAAACAAGTCTAACTAACGATAGAAACAAGTCTAACTAACGATAGAAACAAGTCTAACTAACCATAGAAACAAGTCTAACTTACCATGGAAACAAGTCTAACTAACCATAGAAAACACTTTATCG